GTAATTGATTAAAAGAGAAATATATATAAATTATATTTATTTAATTATTAAATGATGTAATATTCTGAAAAAACATAAGTCATTAATAAATTTGACTCTAACAAAACAATCTTATTCTTAAACAAATAATTAGATAATTGTGGAAAGAAAAAGTCTAATATTTGTTCCAAATACTGCAAAATTTGTCGGCAAGGAAGAAGACGAAGCAAATGTGGAATATTAAGGGGAGAGATATGTGCGTATACATATAGTGGCGACCATATGGGGTTGGGTTGCCATCTCCACAAACACTGTAGCTACCTTTTTCTTTTTCTCTTTTCCCACTTTATCTATTTTTCTTGAGTTTGATGGAGAAGCCATGACCCCTCCATGTGGTTTAGGGAAACCTTTTAAATAAATAATTCAGAGTTTTCAAATGCTTGTCCTTTTCTCTACCTTAGCTTTTGTTGTACTCACATGGAGCAGGCCATATGAAGAACCATTTTTATATTGCAAAAAGTAAAGAGAGAAGAATAAGTAGCTACCAGGGTTGGTTTCCTCACATGCCAGAGAAGTGGCTACCAACATGGTTCGTGGTGTTGGATGGTGTTGGAAGATGTTGGCTATCATTTTTCAACTCTTTCGATTGCTTATAATATCTCTCTTCTTCTTCATTTTCCTGCTGAAAGAGGCTTCAGGTAAACAAAAGGGGGAACAAAAGAAAACCACCAGGGAACACATAGGTGATCATAATCATGACCCTGTATTATCTTCACAGTGTGTCGCATCATCATCATCATCATCGTCTTTTTTTGGTACAACCATTCTTGTTTAAGGAACAGTTCATGAGATGATTTTTATTTTTAAAAAAAATTCACATGTAATTGAATATATGAAAATATTATCATGGTGTATTGAACAGTTTATCATTTTATAATGTGTTTACCAAAAATAACAATAAAATCAAATGTTGGTATAAATAAGAGAAACTTTGTCTTCATCTCCTATTTTCTTTGACAGAATTCACAGAAGAAATGATAAAGAGTAGAAATATGAAAGCAATGAAGAAGCTTAATGTTTCAGTTACCGGGGACAAAGATTTATCATCCTCATCACCACCAAGCACCCACTTAAAATTTACAAGCATAATAAAAATAAACCAAAATGGTTACGCAACTATTTTTTAATCCATGTTCTGAAAGCTAATCCTCTAAGTTACCTTTAACATATAGTTAGTGTAGTGATAAAGCAGAATCTGATAGCTACTTATTTTAAGTAACAAAAAATGCTTTGAGGCACGGTTGTATGCCACAAACTAAGCACTAATTATTTGATGCTTTGTGGAGGTGGTGGTATATTCCTGATTAATTATCATTATGTTCCTTAGAGTAAGTCCAATTTGCGGATTAATTAACACTACATGGCTGTCATAAATCACAATTTCCAAGTTTCAACAATTTGCTTAAGACTTATCCACGAAAAATATAAAGTGAGAGATACTCAAATATCAAGGCACCTTCTTTAATCAATTGCCTCTTCTAAAGGTCAAGTAATATTATTATTTTTAGACAAAAGTGAAGTTATGCAATGTGAGACCATGTGTTTCAATATGGGACATGATATGATAAAGAGAAAATAGCAAGAGGTGAAACTAATAGCTCATAAATGGTGGCAAAGACTAAGAAAAACTTAGAATAATGATGTGAGTTGCAAGGTAGATAAAAATTATATCTCTGTGTGTTTACTAAACATGAAGAGAAGATCAATGAAAAAATGAATGACTAAGTTGTTAGAGGTATGAACATAGTAAATCTTTTTAATTAAAAAATTGAGTGGAGAGAACAATATTGGAAATTAAGGTGTACCACTTCTTATCAACTAGCTATCACTTGAAATCACTAAAGAAAGATATATTTTTTATGTAGACAAGAATGACCAAGTCTTTTTGGTGGGTTGTTTTAGATTTGCCATAGAAAATTTAACTATTCTTTGGTATTTGTTGAAATAATCACAAAGAAAGCATCTAAGATAGAGTCATTAGCAATTTTGGGTATAACCACTAGTAAAGATACACTAAGAAAACTTATTTCTATTCATGTAATGTTGAGTGTAGTCACTTTTTCACAACTTTTCTTACTTATTTCAATAGTCATTAAAAAAAAAAAAAAGGAAATCCAAACTTAATCATCCTCACTTAATTATAATAAGAGGAATTATCTCTTGAATGTGGATTGAAGAAGATAATTTAGAACTCTTGATTTTGATTTGAGTTTATATATATAACAAATGATAATAAAAATAAGATAATCAACTTAACAAGAAGGTAAAAATAACATTATAAATTTTATAATCACCTCTAAAACTTTCTCCCTGCTTTTATCTCAATTCTCTCTTCATATTTCTCTTAAATTGTTATATATATCCTCTTGAATCCATTCACTTATGATGTATAAGTTACTTGAATAACTAGAGGATCATACTGACAGTTTTTTTTTTTATTATTATTATTATTATTATTATTATTATTATTATGTAACGATACATTATTCAAACTATCTTTTGTAACATTTGGATTGACATAGTGACAAAATTTATTATTAAAGTGTTAAAAAAATCCGATGTTTAGTAAATGACTATGTAGGAAGATTGTTTTTGTAAAAAGATACCTAAATCATATATTTACATGCACACAATAAGAATTAGTCACATACATACTAAACTTTCAAAGATAACATAGGTTAACTCATGAACAGTTAATAAAACAAAATAATGTCGTCTATTTAAAAAAGAAAAATAATAAGTTGACACTTTTACTCAACAAATATTCCTTCTACAACCTAATTTTAATAATATAATATTGATAAAACCTTTTAAATTTTATATTTATTATTATTATTATTATACAAAGAATTATATATTGAACGAATGAGAAAAAACGTCATAAAAAAATATTAACACCATTATTTTTAAAAATTACCGATTAATAAAGAAATAAGATAAAAACAATAATCACGATACAAGAAACTCAAAATCCAAAAAAAAAAATTCAACATAATAATGTAGAAACTCCAAAATCGACCATGATTGTTATCTAATGATAAATAAATAATGACATTATATAACACTATGTAAAATTTTTTACAACACATAAACTATAATCTTATGTCCTTTAACCTCAAATACACTCACATCCTCTAAATTAAACCTCATAACATTTATTATAGAGTATAAGAAAAAATCAAATACATTCTTAAAGTATTTTTAACTAGGGTATTAAAATATCATGAACTTTCATTCTTATTATCACTCATTCCATTATTTATTCAATATAATATATTTTGTTAAGATGTATTATTTTAATTAAAATAAATAAGTGTGAATAAATAAGTGCTTTTTAAAAAATGTAGTACATCAATTAAAAAAAACTTTTGTATTTTTTCATATTATAAACTTACATTCATAATGAATTAGATTGAAACAAAAATTTGAATTGAAGTATATATGAAAGGTAATGAAACAAAAATTTGAATTCAGGGAATATTTTATGGGTTATAATTATCACTTTCACATTAAGTTCTCTTACAAAACTCATGTGACACCAATCATGGTGTGGATGGTCATCTCTTTCACGAAATCAATTGTTCGTCATGTGTAAAACTAAATGAAGCAAAATTAAATGAAAACAAGATTTCCAATATTATATGGTGCTTACTAACTGTGTAAATGATCTGTTAAATACAGTGTTGTAACTTGGAGCCAAATATTGCTTAAGGAGGTTTCTTACCTCTAACAAATATTTTTGTGTGGCATCAGACAAACTGGAATCAGGTTGCTTTTCAGTGCTATTATTATAAGAAGCCAACATCCCTTGTCCTTTTCCTTTACAGCGTTGTCATTCGAAACCATTTGATCAAAGTTCAAAAGCGACACCCGTGGAATTCGTATGAAGAGAATTGCGGGGAATAAAGTATTGGTTCATTCTTGGGTAAATTAGTCGAGAATATCTTTGTCAGAAGAAACATTTTTAGGAGAAACGCATGAACAAAAGAGAGGACAAGCACACAAAGGGAATAAATTTTTTAATTTCTTATTCACTTTTCCCTTTCTTGAATCTGTTTTTGCTGTGATGGTAACGTCTGTGTTATACTGAGTTGTGTTTTTTTTTTTTTTTTTTCCATTAAGCAAACGCCATATTGACCATTGTCACTTGTTTGAAAGTAGTCATGTTTTTTATAACGTGGTGCTGCTGGATGTGGACAGATACACTTGAACAAAACCAAGGGCCTCTATTTTATATTCGTATTTCGATTTCTTTATTGTTTGTTTAATAAAAAAACCAAATTTGGTCCTCCTTTTGCATGTTTTTTGGCCATCGTCAGAATCCCCAATTGGGAGACCCTGGCATGATGTAAAAAGCAAAATTCAATAGGCACATGGGAGGTATTGAATTCTGGTCACTGATTACTGAAAAAATTGAAATAAATAAGTGCAACCATCACGTGATAAACTTTAAAGGCAGGTAGCAGGAAATGTTAAAGCTTTTGGTTTTGGGTGGTCCTCTTGTTCAATAATTAATTGCCCTTGGCGGTAAATTAACCCATCCCCTCCTTTTTCTAAGTCATTTTTTCTTCATGAATCATGATCCTGAAATGGGGTCTAGGAAGAGGATGAGGCACTACTATTGACAGCGATGAAACTCAGGCACTCGTGTGCTCTCTCTGCCACCGAAAGTGAGAGGGGCAGTTTTTTTGTCTGAACCTGAAAACAGCATGGCTACGTGTCGACTTATTACTGGGCCAGGCTAGTTGCCCCCATGTGGAAGAGCATGTGAAGTATTAACCTCAGCTTCTCAGATACGCCTACATTCATTATTTTATGTTTTTTTTTTTTTTTAATTTCTTTGTTATTAAATTGTTATTTATTTGGGGTGCGTTTTGTGATGGAGGGTATGGCTGGTAGAGGTTGGAGGAGGAGCTTAATATCAGTGGGGCTGCGCAAGAGAGGAAGAAGGAGAGAGAGTGATGTCAAAATGTCAGGAGGGTCGTACGAGGTGGGGGCGACAAGCCACATGGGACCATCGTAATGTGTCGAATAAGCATGTTTTTGACACTTTCGGCAAAACTTTAGAGAAGTGGAGTTAGCTATACAATTTCAATGACACAAACTTCCTTTCCAAAACCCTACTCCAACGTCGTAACTAACGGGTAACCTTATCCTGCTTCATGTTATTGCTTACTGAGATTAAAAAATAAAATAAAAAATCATCACAAAACCAGACCAATTAAGAGAAAGCTGTTGCATCCCATTTTAGTTCCTCTTTCAATACCACCCTGAAATTACTTTGAGCACGATGCCAATCACACACAACCTACCAAAACTTTCATCACTGTATTTTCAAATTTGAATACACAGAATAAAGAAAATAAAAAAGAATAGTATTTTAAAATAAAAATACTTTATTTTTTTAGTTCTCACTCAACAGACATTTATATTTATCCTTAATTTTCTCAAAGTAATAAAGATTGCAAAAAGCAATTTTGAAATCTTACCACAAACAGTGCACACACCATTTACATTAATTGGTTATTACCCTCAAGTGTAGGATAGTTTTAATTGTGGGCTTCTTAACACTATCATACCACCAACTTGGTCGTCGTCATCATCGTAATCATCAGAGTTTCTTCATCTTTAATCAATCAATAAGTTAATTTGGAAAAAAGATGAAGGATGATAATACATATTTTTGAACAATTTTCGGGAATCAAATCAGATCCACAACAAGATTCATGCTTGTCTGGTGGGCGATATTCTCATGAACGTCCCAAGCTAATTAGGTATGAGATTGAATAGCTCGAAAGGTAAAATTGATAAAAGAAAAAAAAGGGGGAAATAGAAGAAGATATAATATGTATGTACTTGACAATTAACATAAGCCGAGACGAGTGAGGGTGAAAGCGAGGCAAATAATAACAAAAATCAAGAGAAAAAAAATATATGACACGTGGCACAGACGCCGGGAGGTGGATCAACTCGGCGGCGCGGAGGTGGATTCGGCGGCGGCGGAGGAGGAGGAAGAAGAGGAGCCGAGGAGTAAGTCAGCGAGAGCGGCCATGGCGCGAACCTGCATCTCAAGCGCGGGTATGTAATCGATGGCTTCTTCGAGAATGATCGGAAGCGGTTCTTTTCTGCAACCGGGGACCAACCGGCCCAGGACTCTAACTTTGCGCTGAACCGCGGGAAGGGTTTTTCCCTTGAGCCGGAGGACGCTGAAGCGGGGCTTCTTGGGCCGGGCCGGCCCAACGACCTTGGGTCGCTTGTGCGGGGTCTTCCTGAACTTGAGCTTGAGGCGGTTGGTGAGGATGGCGCGGCTCCAGCGCGTCCTCCCGCGGGCGGCGGCGGCGAGGACTCTGTCGGCGGCCTCGCGGACGGCCCTGCCACGGTGCGGCGCGTCGGCGGAGATGTTGACATGCGCGAGGGCCTGGTGGAGCTTGGAGGAATATAGGTGGTGCTGCGCGTGGGTTTTCCATCTGGAGTGGGAGTGGTCGTGTTGGGGGAGGGGCTTGGCGGGGGTTTTCTTCTTCTTCTTCAGGCGGTGGGAGTCACGTGAGCGATCGGTGGGGCTGGCCATGAGAGAGGAGGACATCTGGAAAGAGAAGAGAAAAGGGTTTCTATTTGTGGGAAATTGTTGGATTCAGATGGGTTTGCGGAGATTCTGATGAAAGAGGGACGAAAATTATGGTTAGATTCTTCAAGTGAGAGGAAATGTAATGTTATTGTGTAATCTCTAACAGAGAGAATGAAAATGGGAATGAATGATTTATGAATGAAAGAATAGATGGTGGTGGTGTTTGGGTGGTGGGTGAGGTGTCTCTTCAGTGGAGGTTTTGTTTAAGGGAGAGAGAAAGGGTTGAGGAAGCTTATATAAAGGAATCCCCATACACCACGCCTCCTTTCTTTTTTTTTCTTTTTCTTTTTTTCTTTTCTTCTTAACCTAATTCATTTATCATTATTAACCACTAAGCCAAGCTCCTTCTTAATCACTTTTTTTGGGTCTTTTTTTTTTTCAAACCTTGTTCCTCTTGGGATGTTGGGCCTTTCACACTTGCTTGAGTTTGCATGTGCATAGCTTCGTTTCCCGCAACAGCTTAATTAAGATCACATTTAATTATAATTTATAATCTTCACACATTTCAGTCTAAACCATTCACACCATGGTAACGCTGTTTCTTTTCACCACACTTTGTGTTCTTTCATGTGTAAGATGTAAGGTTCAAACTCAACAGCTCAACAGAATTTAAGGATGTACGAACACAGTCTAATATTTTTAAATAAAATGCCTACTTTTATTCTAGGTGTTTAAATTTAACATAACTCTAATAATATTTTAACTATAATCAAAATTAAATTGTCCTTTGAGCCATGAAAAAGTGACATAATTAACTTTGATTCTTTTGTTTTATATTGCTATGGTTATGTCTGTACTTTTCTTTTCTTCCCTTCTCCAAATTTGAGCATTTCAAATCTCTTCAAGCAATTTTATTTGCTAAATATTCCTTAAATCTCATGGTCATTCCTTTTAAATTGAAAAAAAAAATACCCCTTCTTCCTTGGTCCCATTTTTCATCTTTCTACTTTATTTTTTTCTTTATAAAATTTATAGAAGATTAAATATTTTGGTTGTGTGAAAATAAATTAATATATTTCAACTTTTTAAAGTTTAAATAAAAAATTATAAAAGCCAAAATTAAAAAGTAATTTGAATTTATAGAAAAAGTTAAATTTATTTCGACTAAATTGCAAATTAGTCTACTTTACTACTTGATCCGCAATGTTTTTCGTAATTTTATTTTTTATAGTTTCAAAGTTTCATAATTCTTGTCGAATTTTTAATTTTATACGCGCTTATTTATTTTAACTAATTACTTTTTTTACTACATCTCAAAGGAATATGCTTAAATTTAAAATTGAACATGATAAAAATAAATAAAATAAAAAATAATACTGAAATTATATACATTTAAAATATAGAGACCAAAATAAATAAATAAGAAAAAAAACAATGTAATGCTGTGATTTAAAGTTTGTAGGGTGTAAAAAAATCTCTAATTATACGAATTCTGTAATTTATTAAAAAAGTGTACAATATTTTTTAAAATGTTTTACGATAAAATGGTCTTAAAAATAAGGAATAAAAATAAAACAAGACTCTATTATATTAATATAATTATACGGTTAACATTTATTATTATATCAACCTATTATTTGTCTTAAAGTCTGTTTTATCATATTTGTCTCTTTAAAAATATATATAAATAAATTAAAATTAAAAAAAATATATAAATTATATTTTTTTATTCCTAAACAATACGGTACATATTGAAACAATTTTTACTACTTTTCTATAGTTAAACAATTTTTTTATTTTTTTGTATTTTCTCTATCTACTTGAGCATGAGAGTTGTTTGATAAGAAAACCTCATGACAGCATCCTTTGAATAAAGTATTATGGCTAGACGGGTTTGTGAATGATTATGGGTAACATGCTACTTGAACATTGGGTTTGTGGATAAGATATTTGATGAAATGCCAAAATAAGAGGATTACATCTCAACACTACATCATTTTCTCTGGATCTGTACCAACTATAATTAACACTACTTTTAATAAATGTAGAGCACGTGGGGTAAATAACTGTTAACAAGAAAAAGGTAAAGAAACAATGAAGAGAGAGGAGCATAGAAAAGTGAAAATGTTATACAAGATATACGAAATTTTAAAATAAAAGTAGTTTCTTATCACATTCATTATTCATTGGTGAAAATTTGTTTATATTCACATAGCTGATCTATAAGTCAGTATATATGCCTTCTTTTGTTTTCATTTTAAAAACGTATTACAGTAGTTCAATAAATAGTTAGTCAGTAATTAAAAACGATTATATATATATATATATATTACAAATTAAATTATATACAAATGTAAAATACGATTCCTATATTAGAATATATTTTCTTAATACAAATTGATTATCTTATAGTTTATTTTTTAAAATACTTGTTACACATTTAATTGTAAGTATACTACACATATTAATAAAATAAAATAATAAAAAATAACAACAATAATTGACATAATTTTTTTATAAAAATTGTTTTTTATTTTAAATTTCTTAACAAATACTTTAAAATTATTAATAATGTGTTATTTATATAATAAAGTTATGAACGTACACTACTACAAATAAAGCTTTCAACGTCGGTTCTAAAAAATGACGTTACAGCTTTTACTTTAGATAGCGGTTATAAGGAACCGCTATCTAATATACACTTTAGATAGCGGTTGTAGGGAACCGCTATTTATATTATATTTTTATTAGGTCCTCCATCTCTTTATATTATATTTTTTAGAAGTTTTTTAATTCTTAAGAGAATTGTCATTGGCAGGATTCGAACTCAAGTACTTTAGAGTTGGAGGTCGATACTCCAACCACTAAACTACTTGAATTTTTTGATAATAACTTACAAATAAATTATATTTATATACAAATAAATATATATCCGTGTAAATATCACTACTAGAAAAATGTCAAATAGTAACTTCGAATCTCAACCTCGACCTCAACCTCGACGAACTCGAGGCCGAACCCCAACTCTGGCGACATCGAACCCCAATGTCAAGCCAAACCCAATTGTCATGCTTCGTGAAACCCAACGCAAACCCAGCGTGAGCTCGAACCCTAACGCATACCCTAGTGACGTCGAACTCTAACCTCGAGCCAACCCCCACTTTAATTCGGTCGCAATTAGCGATTGATTGATTGCTCAAGGATGTGTAAAAGATGATATATTCAATGCATGTTAAAAAAGTTCAAGCCAAACTGTTTTTATAGAAGATTTTCAAAACTGCTGGTTTAATTAATCTGTTAAAAGATTCTTTTAATCTGTTAAAAGTGCAGTTTTAATATGTTAAAACTTCTTTTAATCCATTAATACGTTTTTGATTCTTTAACAGATTTGTTTTAACTGATATGACAACGTTTATATCAATTAAAACACTTTACAAAAAATCTTCTAAGTTGATTTAATCGATTGTTTCGCGATTCAATCGATTGAAATACTGCAAAACTTTCACGTGACACTTTTCAAGTAATTTTAACTGATAAAAATAAGTTTTAATCGATTAAAACGCTGTGCAGAAATTGTTTTAATCGATTGAAACAAGATTTAATCGATTAAAATAGTTCTGATCGGTCATAACTGCATTCTGATCGATCATAATTGAAACAATATAATAGTAGTTCCAGGTTAACCGCTATCTAAAATGTATCTCGCTTGAGCGACACCCTTCACGCTCGAGCGAAACGCCCCCTGCACAAAATTAGCATTCTCGGGTTGTATTTCGCTTGAGCGACACTCCCTCGCTCGAGCGAAATTAGATTCTGATCGATCATAACTTGAAATGATCGATCATAATTGAGAGGATATAATAGCGGTTCCCTTATAACCGCTATCTAAAGTGTATATTAGATAGCGGTTATAAGGGAACCGTTATCTAAAGTGCATATTAGATAGCGGTTATAAGGGAACCGCTATTTAAAGTGTATATTAGATAGCGGTTCCCTTATAACCGCTATCTAATATACACTTTAGATAGCGGTTCCCTTATAATCGCTATCAATTAGTAAAAAATAAAATAAAAAAAGACTTTCAACGTCGGTTCATATGGGAACCGACGTAGAAAGTACTTTCTACGTTGTTTGACTAAGAACCGACGTAGAATGTGACCAACATTCAACTTTCAACATCGTTTTTTAATCAACCGATGTTGAAAGTGTATTTAACGTCGGCTCAGCTTGAACCGACATTAAATGGCGACGTTGAAAGTATATTTTGTAGTAGTGGTATCATTAATAGTAGATATGAATATTTCTTTAAAAATATTTAATTATATTTTTTAAATATAAGATTATATATATATATATATATATATATATATATATATATATATATATATATATATATATATATATATATATATATTAAATCTTGTTTTAACATCTTACGTGTGTTTGAGCCATAATTACAATTGAAAGAAGATAAAGATAGTAAGTTAAATTTCCTTAAAAAAAATTAAAAGAAAGACTTTACTAAAAATGATCACCTTTTTTTTAACTGAAAATTAGTCATTTGTACCAACAACGTATATAAAAATAATAGAGAGAAATACTCATTTATACAATTTATATGGAAATTCATTTTTGGATGTACTATTTTTAATCTTTCCAAACAAAAATAATCTAAAAATATATAATCTATAATACATAATTGATTATTATAATTTTTTTTAAATATTTTTAAAAAATAATAATCATAATAAATAATTACAATAATAAATAAAATTATTAAAATAAATAATTTTATTTATTGCTTCTATTTTTAATTTTTTTTCCTTAATTTAATAAGTTCTACTTTTTATTATTATTTAAAAAAAATTCACTTTCTCAAATTTATTTTTCAATCCAACCAAACACACGTACAGAAGAGATTAAGTTAATACGAACCTTTCAAACTGACCAACATAACAACACTTTATGTGACGAAAACAATTGAATTTCTTGAAATTTGAATGCAAGAAACTTCATAACATGTGGGTGGTACACATATAGTTGAAGAACTTTTCTTTTGGTACGCATACTTAAAGAAGAAGATATAAAACCTACCATGTTTTGTTCTTGCAACTTCACTAAAACTAAAAGGTACGGCAGCACTGATGCAAGTTCGAGTTATTGTAAATAGCTTTGGTTAGGCAGCTAGCAAAAATGGACCCAACCAAATCTCCAAATCACATCCAAAGGATATATGTCTTCACAAAGCTATTTATCAAATTCCACTCACTCATCCAATTTTCAGAACTTGATTAGGTTCCAGAGAAAGACATGCCACTAGCACAAGGGCTCGTAAAAAAAATTATACAATTTTTGTAATAATAAATAAATATGTGCTAAGATGGTTAGATAATATTATTAAGATAAGATCATATTGATAATAAAACTCAAAGATAAAATGTATTGCTCTGAATAATATGGAATTCTGTATTTCTAAATAGGATTTTGTATTCAACTTTTATTAATTGGGAGATAAAAACATCACTTAATATTATTATTCAAGTTTTTTTTAGTAGAAATTAGCGATTTTTAAATATGAAAAATACTGTATATAAATTAAATAATTATAAGAAAAATAAAACATGTGTGTCGGGAGTAATGATAATTTTGCAATTTTTTTATGTAATTTAATCGAATCGAAACGCAAAGGCATGTTACTTGAACAGCTTAACCAAAGACAATCAGATATGTTTTTAGTGTATACCTGAATTTGGTGGTTGTTGTCTCTCTTCAAATCTTACGCCCCTTTTCGCTTTTATTTATGTTGGCGACTTCCGTTGAACGAAAGCAATGTAATGCGTTTTTCTGCTTTGAAAAAATATAGTTAGGGTTGCCTCAGAAATCGCGAATCATCCACCAAACACAGACAAGCATTCCAACAAATGTGACTTGTGATCAAACCATAATTTTACACACATTAGTGCTGTTTTTGAGTGTCCAAGTTTGCGTTGAATTAACTTGACTTGAGTTACATAGCTTGTTCAAAGAGATTTTTCTAGATAGTAATAAAGTATTATATATAAGTAAGATAATTTCTATCTTACAAGTCAGCTTTTTAAATTACAATTTAGTTCTCTAAAAGTGAAATAAACTTATGCATATATTGTTCTTATAAAATGATATATAATTAACAGGAAATAAACCGGTTTTTTCAGCAGTTGAAACTTTACTAAAACGCTTCTATGTTGGTTGAATGAATCCAAATTTGAAGTTGTGCATACCAAACTTTGCCCCCAAAATGAAAAGCAAGTAGCTAGTGGAAATCAACACGAAAGCTCACCAGAGGAACTTTGACAAATTCTGACAACATTAGAGTTTGGGGTGCCCCGGTTACTTTATTACGGGCATTGAGCAATTCCATCATCGCCCCTTTGGAATGGGGCATGCACTGCTTGTCTTTCACCTATTGACCAAAAAATATAGGCCCCCAAAAAAATTATTTCTTTTCATTCCGTGCAATGATTAATTATTGGGTTTTATGATCTGCTAAAACCAAAATAAACAAGAGATAGATGCATGTGCTTTGTTGTGGCACTTTTCTACCCTTGGAAATGTTGAGTTTTGGTTGTGGCGGTGGAGTTTTACGGCTTTCAGATTCTGGATAGTTAGTTATGCTCCACAATACCTGAAATGGACCCCCTGTATGTGTCCTCTGCCAAAAATATTTTATCAATATAGTACTCAATTATTTCCCAGTTACCCATCAGAAAAAAAATAAAAAATTATGGTGTCTCGTCTTGCTTTTCAATTCTTGTTTCAGAGCTTGCTTCCCACCAAGCTCCCCATTCGCACATTCTGCTAAGGAAATGCTTAATGCAAATTCAGGGGCCAGTGCCCTGTCCCTCCCTACATTGGACGAAGCTTTCGACAAAAAAGATACCACAGCAGAAACTAGAAAGTTACTCATCTGTTAATATAATACCTACCAAGTGAGGGAATGGAAACATCAAATACAACTTTTTTTTTCATCTAACGAGTGACGCTGTATGTTAACAAAGGAAGTAAACAACAAATGAAAAAAAAGGGAGTTAGATTAGAAATTTAGCATAACAAGTAGTGTGTGTGTGTGTGAATCATTAACAGTTATTAAAAGTAAAAGGTGAGGGCTGCTGGCTGCTGGCTGCTGGCTGCTGGCTGCTGCATATATAAACATAATTGCGGATGTCAAGATGGATGATTTTGATTATTATTTTTTTCCGTGTTTGATGGAGACAACCACAATTGTAGAAATTGTAAAGTAGGTTACCATATAATGAAAAGATTTAAATTAATAGCTGAGATGTGTTAAAAGTTTAAATAAACTTAAATGTGTTTTCACGCCACAATGAATAAGTTTTATTTTTTATTTTGTCATTTCTTTCTAAAGTATAAAACTATTATTTTGTATTCTGACTCTCATATATATATATATATATATATATATATATATTATTTTTATCACTCAAAGTATAAAATTATTGTTTTTAGTCCTAAACACTCATTTTAAAGTAATTAAATGGTATTTATTTAAAATCTTGTATAGCAAATAAATGTCACGTATAAAAAAAATACAAATTAATTCATATTCTTGAAAGATAAATATTAGTTGTTTTAACATAGATCAAAATAAAATCTAGTTGATTTCATAAAAATTAAAGATATAGCCAAAAATTTAAATATAAATGTAGTTTTTTTACCAAAATAACAACAGAAAAAAGATAACCCCATATAATTTTGACATATTAATCTGAGGTAAGAATCTCTCACTGTTCATCCCATGTCATAATAGTGATCCATGTGTATTTCAGCAGAGAGATGACACAAGAAAACCTTAAAATAATGCTAAATCATTATTGGGCATTATAATGTGCCAGAGGGTTGCCTCCCTTCTGTGCGACAAAATAAAGAAAAGGGTAAAACGGTACACTTAAGTGTTGAAGGGTAATCCGAGATAATTGAATTATTTCCCTCGTTCAAATGATTCTAAATGGAAGCTACAGTTAGTTGTACATATAATGATTATTCCTCACATGTATTTAAGATATGTTCAGGAATTCGTAACTAACAACTTAGCTAAACCAAATTAGGAACATTACACCAAAGTCATTGAGAACTCGAATATGGAATTAGATCAGAACAAAATCTTGACAATGTGAAAAGTTAATGAAACGCCACGATTGTTGACTGCTTGGTCAACTCCAATGCAGAGACACTTGCTGATCTACTTAATTCTATAGTTCTACGTTAAAACGTGCTTAATAACAAGGTTAGAGATGATTATGCATGCATTGGAATCTTTTCAGATTAGGCAAGCATATAATCATTTTTTGGGTAAATTTATATGGTATTCCACTAGTTTTTTTACCTGATAGAGAAATTTCCGAACAGGTACGGAACGACACAAGAGTTATATAACTTCCATATAATACTGTTTATCCACTATTTGAACTCGAAAACTCATGTACCATCTCAAGATCCCACTCAAACACTATGCGTGAGTGGCATACATGTGAACATAACAAAACAAGATTGAGCACTAAATTCGATGTAGTGTTAGAGAATCAAATTTACTTTTTCTTACATTATAATACTCCTAGCACGAGCCAGTGGTAAAAAACAGCCATTCATCTCCCTGAGTTTTGGTAAAGAAGAAACGGTTAAAGTAGATATTTAGACATACTCTCTCCATGTCCCACAGGCTAAAATATTCTAACGTAAGGTATTGTTTGGTGTAAATTTTGCTGATGCCGATGCACCAAATCTTACTTTATTAGTTCTGAATATATTACTCTCTCATGCATTGGCTTGAAAAGTACATTCATGGATTACATCAAAACTTTCGCTTTTTAAACTAATTAATGATGGCTGGCCAAAGGCTAACTCCATCGCAACCATCAGAGTTCAAAAAACACAAGTGAATTGAAGTCATTTTTCAATCAATAAAGCAATAGATCTAATTGGACTGACTTTAAAAAGAATAAGACTTTACATGATCGGTGTCCCTAATCTAGCAACATTGTCATTCTCTCCCCTATGCTTTTAACTTCCTCATGAATAGCCTATCAGGTAACACATTATGAAACGAGATAAGCAGCAACTATACTTCATAAATTATTAATGCCTTTTAACGGAACTTAACCCCACTCTCCTATCTTCTTTTTTCCCCATACTTCAACAAATCCAGGCCAACAATTAAAACACCTTTGTTTGAACATTTTGAAGGAATGCGCTATCCTCTAATCTAAGAGCACAGAATGTTTCTGCTCTCGTCAAAATTTCAGCGATCTAAGAATGTCAAATCATTGCTAAAACAACTACTGGACAACCAGATCAATCAAAACGATGGATTCGATTTTCATCAATTTGTCCTGGTCTTACATATATGGAACAAGATGTTTATTCATTTTATTAGTCATTATTAAATTTTGGCAAACGTGTTTGGTGTTATGGATTGCTGTAAGTATCCATTTGATAAACTTTCAAAATGACATTAGGACAACCTTGTTGACTGTTAAAAACATGGGAGCCGGTATCTGTGGTATGTTAGGTGAAATCAAATCTGTTCAAGCAGCACTGGCAACAACCACCTCTCTTCATATAACAAGCCTATTATAGTGAACATATATAAACTTAAAATGGCCACATTATATGGTTTGGGTCGATTACTCGGCACCATTTACTAGATATTGAAATTATATATCCAACTTCTATGGAACTAGTTATAGGTGAGGCATCCTTTTTTTTTTTGTAGTTTAGGGCACTAAGATCTTCATGGATAGCACCCAAAGTCAAGAGTAGATTAACAAATTGAAAGGAAAATGTATAGACATTGAAATGCCAGCTGGCCTTTCCCAAACAAAATAAGTATAATCATTGATAAAAAAAAATCCGAAATTGACTGTCAAATTGAAAGGAGAATGGGTACACCGTACACGAGGACATGCGAACCGGCCTCCCCCAACTTCAGACTAGCACAGAACATCAAGCAGAATGAATTATGCTGGCAGTGATGCTTTCTAACTCGAAGAGATGTATCAATACACCATGTGGTAGATGAACTACTCGTGTCAGGATTTATTAAATACAATTAGGAGTCGGTTTCACAGGACAAGACATTGACAAGAGTATTCTGCCAGGGAGTGACACCCCGTAAGACTTATTATTGGATAAGTTCATAAATAACATCTATTTTTTTTCCTTTTAGTAAAATGTTCAGTTAAATTTATGCTAGTTTCTCAAACTGTGGGTCCTATCATTAATTTCAACCGTGTAAATCATCTTCGAACATTAAAAATGTTAAGCAGGGTTTTCCAAACGTTTCTTATGAGTCTGCATAAGTCTTACGGGCCAGGGGATATGAAATGGCCTAGTGAGATGTTGATAAACTGATTCCACACTTCCATCAATCGAAGGCATTTAGGATAGGCCCCGCAAAAGCAGAGAGAAAGCGAGAGTGAAGACATTAACTATAAGCAAGCATCGTAATAATATCGTCAAAGAAAGCAGCAATTTTCACTTATGTCTACAATTTTCGACAGGTATTTGAATCTATATTGAACAACAGTATGTGGCATTACTTGATTACAATTATCGTTATCTATCTCTTAGGACATGATCAATAAAACTTATAACTAAACACTGTACGTGTAACTGTAGCCAGACTACTTTACAGTTACAACTTTGAACTAATGCACATGCCTCCTAAATACAAACTATTTTCAGGTCTTTTTGCTGGTTAAGGTTCTGTTGGTGCAATTTTTATTCACATAAACACAGTTATTTGTCCACTTTTCGTCATCTTCAAACAATTTGGGTTTAAAGTTCATACTTCCATACGTAAAGTGTGTAATAAACTGCAGTACGAAATACAAAATAAAGGGGTTGGAAACTGGTTTTATGAAACAAGTTCAACTTTTAAAACCAGTTCAATTCTGAACTGGTTGGTCAAAACAATTTGATTTGATCAGAACCAGTTTTATAAAGAGGTTTGCATATTTAAATCGGTTCTATTTATAATTAAAGAAAAAAAAAACGGATTTGGCACATCCTTTGGTAAGGTGGGTAAAAAAACCTCAACTGACCAGCATGTGAACCCCATTGACTCTATGACCAAAGAAAAGATTACTTTATAAGGATCGGTTGAAGTAAACCAGATAGTTTCATACATATCTTCAGCTAACAGCATCCATCAACCACATCATACAAATACAAGTATTCTTACATATATATTTATGACAAATTCAATGGCAGTAAATGCAAGTTCAGGGCAATTCTAAATTTCGAATTACCTCAAGTCTAGTGTAAGACTAAGAACGAGTTAGATCAATTTCATGATTTCCAAGAATTGTCAGTTAAGAAGATATATTTACAAGCTACATAACTGAAGATCTTACCTCTTCTCCCCGTAATCTAAAAGCATAACAACCTTGGTATAATGGTTCATGTTGGTGTCGGTCCTCTGTAAGGGCTACGAGTATCTGAAGTGAAGAAAAGCACAACTGATACTCCAACTACCCATATGAAGGTACACAGAAACAGCATGCGGTTTTTCATAGAAAGCAAATGAGCAAACTGATCTCTCTCCTCAGGCAGGGTATAGGTTTGGAGATCGCGTAAGACATATTCAATTATTCCATCCATAAGCTCTCGTCTATGTTGGGGAGCAGAATTAACCGAATTGAGGACCTCAGTTTTAACATTTCTCAGAAAATTCACAGTAATCTCAGCCTCCACAGAATTAAACTTAGAACTAACGATTTCATTGGAACCAATACAATTAGTGGAGCTAATAATTCCCGTCGTGTCAGTGAGTTTTTTAGGAGTTAAATCAGACGGAAGCAAAGTCACCGAGGAAGGTTCTTCCAAGAAGAAGGTCTGAAACACACAAAAAACATTTAAATAAGATGAAGCCTCCACTATCCATACAAAATGCCTAATAGATCCTACATTCCCATTGTTTTTTGCAATTACAACTATAATTGCATTGGAAATTTGAATACATATACTAGCAACAAATCAATAATCTAAGAATCGTGTACCACGCATAAACAGTAAAAAATAAAAATAAAAATCAAAGACAATTTACACATCGAAGAATTCCCTGCAACTTAAACAACATAAACGGTGAACACAATTTCCAAGATGCGATGCACTTTAGGTAGCGTTATATTGTCTTTCCTCAGACGAATCGTATGCCATGAAGGCGACAAAGAAACATCATGAGAAGCATAACAAGAAACAAAAGAGCGAGATTCGAACTTACGGTGAGATCTTCGTTGCGATTTACATCTAAGATTTCGGAGAACGATGATAAATCCACGGAATCTTCAGAAACCGATGCAAATGCTGCATTCAAACTCTTATCGGTGATCTGGTGACAGAGAAGGAAAGGAACGGTGAGAAATTGAATCTAAAATGGAAACAGAAAGAAAAGAAAACAAAAAGTGAGAAGTTAGGGTTCATGAATAGTATGCCTTGTTAGACTTTTTGGATGAAATATCCTTCGTTCTGCCATGGCGATTCTCTGCGGAGCGCGCGAGCACTTTGTGTGGTGTTTGATGCTCTTTCATTGGCGGGAGTTTAACGGTGTTACGTGAAACTGCAACTTTTAACTATATGTTGGTGGAGAATTCGAAATTCTGCCACATAACAAATCCTCGTACTTTTCCTTTTTATATTTTATTAAGAAATATTCGCGCCATGCTTTATTTTGATTTAACAAGTGAATTTTAGTGTTTTTTTATTTCCTTAGTTAAAGGTCAATTTATTTAATTTCAATAATTTTTTTTTTATCACGGAATACCATAAAACTGAAATTAGAGATGACCGTGAGAGTATTATTATAATGTACACCCCAATTTTTTGGTACACTCATACATTGATTTTGTGACATTTTTGTTTATTTGTGTGCGGTTGAGTTGAAAAATCAAATTATAAATAAATTTAAAAATAAAAAAATTATTATTGAGAATATAACTAAATCTTGACTCTTCTTCTTTTTTGTCGGCTCAATTTTTTTATTTTTCTTTAATAGGATATTATTGGAAATGTAGTTCAATCTTAATCTTTTTTTTGGTTTGTCAGCTCAATCCCTAATACTTTTTTATTGGATGATGACCCCTTTATCATCAACAACGCTAACAGTATCATTAATAGTGTTAGCACTACAACAAAATTGCGTATTACCGACTGGATATTTACCGATGGATTTGTAGCTGATCGGAAAATAATCATTACCGACGGATATAAAATATTTGTGAAATTTGATGTTACAGACGGATATATCCGTCGGTAAAATAATAATTAGTTACCGATGGATATATCCGTCGATAAATCCGTTGGTAATTAATCCGTCGATAAATTAACAATTAATTACCGACGGATATATCCATCGGTAAATTCATATGTAAATTAAAAATTATTTACCGATCGGATATATCCGTCGGTAAAATTATATAATATAATTTAATTATTCACTAATTAAAAAATAAAATATTTTTTATTTAATAATTTAATTTAATCATAATTAGATTAATTTATAATCATTTATTAAATTAAGTAATTTTAAAAATAAATATTTAATTATATATAAATATATAAAAATATATATAAATATATAAAAATATATATAAATATATAAAAATATATATAAATATATATAAATATATATAAATATATATAAATATATAAATATATATAAATATATATAAATATATAAATATATATAAATATATATAAATGTATTTGTATATTTGTATATAAATATAATTTATTTGTAAATTGTTATCAAGAAATTCTAGTAGCTTAGTGGTTGGAGTATTAGCCTCCGACTTTAAGGTACTTGGGTTCGAATCCTGCCAATGACATTTCTCTTAATCTGACAATAATTCAAAGCTATAAAAATATAATATGGAGAAATAATAAGAATATAAGGGGGAGGGGTTCTATAAAAAAAATATGTTATAAATAAGTAAAATATTTAATAATTAATAAAATTATTACAGACGGATAAATCGTCGTAATATTTACGACAATCAATTTCGATGGATTTTAGCGTCGAATTCGTAATATTCATTTATCGACGATTTTGACCGTCGGTAATTTTAATATTTCTTGTAGTGTAGTGGGAACATAGAGAAGTTTATTAACGATACTGAATCTAGAATTGGTAGTTAATCATGTTTTCCACAACTCTACTTTTAATATTTTTGTTATTTATTACTATTTTTAGCCAAGAAAAAAACTCTGACACCACTTGAGCAATTGGAATCTCAGAGTTTCTGCATTGTCTATTTCCTTTTATAATAAGGTACTTGTGAAAAACTATGCGAAATTTGAGTTTTGAAACTAGAATTTTAATTTATTGTGTTTTGGATTCGTGATGTAGAAGAGATAGTTTTGATGGAAATCATTATTAAAAATTCCTTATGTTGGTTGGATGGTGAATTTTGGTTAGTCTTTGGATTTTTTTTTTCTTTTCAGTGAAATAGCCCTAGCTTTTTTGTGATTTTACATACGAGAGCATGACCATTTTGATGTTGATGGAGGTTCTAAGCTTGACTTCTATTTTTAGTAATACAACTACGAAACATTTCACACACAACACTTTGTTGGTGGTGATTCGAGAAATTAAGAAGAAGATTATAGGGTTGGTCACAGAAACCATGTGCATCATTATGAATTTTTTTCTTTATCAAACTATAAAATATGACTATTTAATATTAGTATTAATATCAATTTTGATAAGACAAGTATTCATAATGTTGAAATAGTTTGATGTTAATCTTCCAAAGTATTCACTTGAACTGATGCAGTCACACTCTTGGTAGTATGAGTGTCTTAACGGTGGGTATGAGTATAATGACTGTTTTGGTGAGTTTAATAAAACACACTTCCTTTTCCTTTTGATTGTAGTGTGTTGACAGTAAGTTGGTTGGTTGTGGGGAAGAACGCATTTGAAAGTTTTGAGGCCTGTTCAACAACACTGTGTATGTTGTCCTATTTTCGTATGGTTTGAGTTTTTACTGTGGTTAGTGGTGGTGGAATATGTTTTGTATTGTTTGTTGTCTTATTTTTAGTATTTTAGTTGATTGGATGTAGGTTGCTTGATAAAATGTGTGGTTGTGTTGTGTGAATATGTTATCACCAAGTATATGGTTAGTCATAGATGTACGAAGACTCATAGAAAGATGTGTATACATTGATTCATAAGTTAACTTATTTATTATCAATTTCAATATTAACACAAAATTTCATACATTCTTTTCAGGAACATGCAATTGACATTCGATTAATTGCAAATCAACAAGAGCTTTTGATGCAAAAGAATACTGAGTTAGAACAACGGGGTGGAGATTTTGGAAGAAGAGTTTAAAGTGTTGAAGGATGTAATCGGTGTCCCGAAAGATATAACAAGTGAGGTTGATACGAACCCTTTTACAAATAGAAAATTGAAGCAAATATTTGAACATTTGTATAATTTTTGTGTTAAGAGATGTCCTATTAATAACAAGAACGAGTAAGTGTTTATTATTTATGACATATTTTTTATTAAAATGTGAGTTTAATGATAAATGATATTATTACTTGTTTGTTGCAACATCTTGGATAATATGTACAATGCTTACCTTGACTGTAAGAATGTACAATCTTTGAAGACCCGAAATTGGGTTGACAATTTAGTTTGTATTAAAAATAACAACTAGTTAATTTGATGCAATTATTAAATGTATATTGACAATTATCTCTTGTTAATGTAAGTTTTTTTATTTGTATTTAAATTCTTAATGACTAATATGTTTCACAATAGTGACATGAAGACACATTATGTTTTTAGTCCACGTTTTTCAGCAAGTTTTAATTATGGTAATTTCAATTTACATTATTCATTAGTTTTAATGTAGTGTAATTAAAACGAGACAGAATATTATTATCGATTTGTTGACAAAGGTGAATGGAGAATGATTGATTCAAGAATGAAATAAGACCGATTTTGACAAAAACTACAATAAGAAATTAGTCTCATGACAATATTAAAATGTAAAAATAATATCAACTAACAACATAGTGAAAAATATGTCAACTATAAATCATCAAATCCTAGTTCAAATATCGTATTGTAATTAAACATCCACAATGAGCATTAAATACATAAATTCCAACCATACAAAACCTACAACAAATAAATGTTTGCATGAATCCTGTTAATGTACTCTCCAACAATCACAAAGTGGTTATAACAGTAATTACATCTAAATGTACATCAAAATAACTACATCAGTAACTATATTAAATAACTTGTCTACATGTACTTTTTTATAGTGTTATGATACTTAACTCATAGTGATTTTGTAATTAAACTATGAACACATTTTTTAGGTTTCTATTTCATCCAATTGTACATATTAGAAGGTTCTTCATCAACTACTTTATGATCTTCATCCACATTATCAATGTCTTCATTTACTATGTATGCCTTTTCAATAAGGACTTGTTACTACTTCAAACTCGTTTTTATCTTTAATAATTGCAACTCAAGTTCTGTGATCCTTTCCTCCATACTTTGTTCTTCTCCAACAATATTTTATTATCATAAACAATTTGATTGATATCAATTCCAGAAGTATTGAAAAAGACAAAATTGTTATTTTCTTTTGCAAATGCATCCTTAACAAAGTTATGTGCAGCTTCTGCATTTGTCATACATAGATTTTTCACAACCTATCATTCATATGGAAATATATATTCATTACATAATACATAATGGTTAACTATAAATAATGATTACACCAATTATATATGTACCAAATTCTTCTTAAAAGAAGTTGATATAACTTTATTTTTCATTGAAACATCCTTCCACTAAGGGAATATATTATTGTTTTCCACACCTTTTAATGGAAAATTGATTACATGCTCAAAGGCCCAAACTTGAAATTTCAATTCATTGACCGAAGTAAATGAAATATATAAAATTAACTTAATAATAACATTGTATTCAAAAGTTAATAACGTACTTGTAATACTAAAATAGATTCAACAATGTGCAACTATGATGAATTTGTTTCTTTCAACAAAGAACAAGATGTCCGAGAAAGACTTTGAAACAAGTTCTCATACACAACAATACCCCAGTTATATTGATCGATGACTTTTATATCATTTAATACCTTTAATGAACTTACACACACATAAGAATATGTGTTTGGAAAATAAAACTCCGTCAACCCAAGAAGTATGTGAACTCTACAAAAATCATCCACATTATCCTCATTTTGCAATTGCTCAAGTTTAGTAAAAAATTCTTCTAAGGAAATATACTTGGCACAAAATGTCATAAAACACTCACCATTTTCGTCACAAACAATTTTCTCTCCACTTATATGAAGTTCTAAAGTCAAACAAACATCTAAGGATTTAGATGATATTATTTTATCCTGTATTCTAAAAATACCTTTTTTTTTTCATCTCATCTACTACATAATTCAAACAATAATGACATACATATCTTTAACTTTTCACCAAATCCTAATAATAACTTAAAATGAGTGTTTAAATTTCTACTTTTACA